AATTTTTGATGAAATCAAACAAAGTTAAATTTTGGACCCTTTGGACCTCAATGTGGACCAATTTAAAAACGGGGCCCAAAATCCAAAAACTTAATACACGGTTAGATTCAGCATATTAAAGAACCCCAAGAATTCAAGAATAAAACCCCAATGAAATTGATCAAGAAATAAGCAATTTATACGAAGTATCTTCTTTTGCACAATACTGTGCAATTGAATATTTCTTGCTATTGCGCAATACTGTGCAATTGAAGATTTCTTGCTATTGTGCAATACTGTGCAATTGAAGATTTCTTGCTATTGTGCAATACTGTGCAATTGAAAATTTCTTGCTATTGCACAATACTTATTATATAATAATTAACACATCCTGTTTGGTGTGTATCTCCTACCATATATCATTATTATTTGCTTTAAATATAAATCAGAAATAACCAACTTAAAATGGAAAATTTTAAAAGAAAAAAAAAAGGAAAAAAAGAAAAAATCCCCCCCCAAAATTTTTTGAACCCCCTTATGATTCATCACCCCTAAACTCAATCCAAGCCTTCCCTTTGTGGTATGGTACCTTGCAGTACAATTTCAGAGAGATCCATACACTTGAACACAAGTTATTGTCTGGAAACTAGAAAAATGCTTATTTTTGGCCCCTTTTTGGCCCCCAATTCCTAAACGTTTCGGGCAATTACCCCCAAACTCAATTCCAGCTTTCCCTTTGTGATATGGAACCTTGTAGTACAATTTCAGAAATATCCAAACACTTACACACAAGTTATTGTCATGAAACTAGAAAAATGCTTGTTTTTTTTCCCTTTTTTGGCCCCTAATTCCTAAAATTTTGAGGCAATTACCCCCAAAATCAATTACAGCCTTCCTTTTGTGATATGGAACCTTGTGGTACAATGTCAGAGAGATCCATACACTTACACACAAGTTATTGTCTGGAAGTTACAAAAATGCTTATTTTTGGCCCCTTTTTGGCCCCTAATTCCTTAACTGTTGGTACCATAACCCCCAAAATCAATCCCAACCTTCCTTTCGTGGTATTGAACCTTATGGTAAAATTTCATGGAGATTCATTCACTTTAACTAAAGTTAGAGTGCGAAAACCAATGTGTCTTCGGACGACGCCGGACGACGACGACGACGACGAGACGACGCCAATGTCATACCAATATACGACCAAAAAATTTTTAATTTTTGCGGTCGTATAAAAATGTGCATTTCCCGATTGTATGCATAAGGTGAGACGTAAATACAATATTGAATTGAAATCAGAGTACTGAGTAAGCTGACATTACATGACAGTTTGACCCTGCTGGCTCTTGTCAAGTTCATGGTAGGAGATTTGTCATTAATTCTCACGATGAAGAACAGCAGTGGAAGCACAGTTAGGTTATCTCTTTATAATTCATGCTTTGTCTCATATACAGCCACCCTCTTTAGTCTATAATTAAAGGAATGGTATATCCTCAAATGTAAAATACTTAGCTAGGAATTATCTTTGCCCGACTAAATTATGTTCCTATACTTTGGTGACTGTTTGTTGATGTTAATGCCACTTTCAGCACTGTTGGCTATATTACGGCGGCCTGTTTTTATTGTTTGTCCTGTAACGTTGGGAGTTTAAACCCTATAAAAGGACTATGGGTTTTACTTATTGTTGAAGGCCGTATGGTGACATATAGTTGTTAATTTCTGTGTCATTTGGTCTCCTCTGGAGTTGCCTGGTTGGCAATCATACCACATCTTATTGTATATGAAAATATAAATAAAGCCAATATGTGATATATTTATTTTTTCTTTCAATACAAAATCAGCAACTTCAATAAAAGTAAATGTCTCCCTGGCTGATACTGTCACTTTAATTACGAAGAACTGGATATTTATAACATTGATGCATTTATACATAACTGCTTATTTTGTTAAATACCAGAGAAACAACATCATGAAACTCGTCATGTAGAGTCTTGGAAAAAACAGTTGATCTTGTCATATACTGTAAATTCATATTCATGCATTTATTTTTGGGATTATTTAGTAATAAACACGATTGTGAGATCAATTATAGCAAATTCGGGGAAATGTTGCATACAAATAATGCTAACAATATTTTAAACATACGTTTTTTTAATTTTTGGCAAAACCTTTCCTTTTGCAATTTTCCTAATAATAAACTGTTGACACAGAGATATGTCTCGCATAAAATCCAGAAAAAAACTTAGATGGACAGCAGCATACAATTAGATGGCCAGCAACATTGCTAATTAATTCAGTCGCTGGACCATGAACTAGTGGGTAGAGCCTCGAAGTGGTCAACAAACTGAGATGTACGGACAGTAATGTAGCTTTGTAGAAAATATAGTTGTCTATTGTAAGTAGTTCCTATCAAACTAACTAAAGCAGAAAACTAAACAATTCTTGTCACCAAGTACTTGCAAGTAAGAGCTTATGTTGAAGATAGTTATGCATAAAGACTCTGTCCCACAAGCAGCATTTTAAGAATTTACATTGATCAGGAGAACTTAAAAAACTAAATTTTATAGTAAAAGTAAAGTATACTTATATGAACTTAGTTTGGTATAAAACTTTTAACAGAAGTTAAAACCAATTTTCTCTCTATTCAGAAAATTTAAGTGCTTTTCTAATCTCCCATTCCATTATTCCAAGTATAGATATAAAAAACTAGAGGCTCTAAAGAGCCTGTGTCACTCACCATGGTCTATGTGCACCCTCTCCAACATTGCAGACGAGAATAAAATTCCTGACAAAATTTTGTTGATCTTATATTGCTGATCATTTAGTCTGTCTAGTTTCTCTATATATTCCTTAGTTTTTGCTCAAAACAGAAAAGAGGGTAAAAAAATATGGCCAATCACTCCAATAAAGAGTGACAATCTACTATCTATATCGGCAAAATTTTACTTGTTAGTAGATCTTGCCTTGCTGATCATTTTTGTGATTTAAAGTGTCTATTATAATTTTTTATCATATAAGGCAAAACGCAAAAAAATGATAAAATCATCATAAAGAGCAATAACTCCAATAAGGAGTAGTTGGACGATTTCCTCCATTTGTCTAAATTTTAGTTCTTGTCTTGCTGATCATTTTTGCTCATTTAAGTTTCTATCTATCTATTATAATTTTTAAGATATAAGGCAAACAAGAGTGCACACGCTGAAATGTCTCGCCTTCTTTACTAATCATTGATATTATGTTGATAGTCCTAAATATAAAGCTTTATTACAACTGTCACATAAACTTAACATTAACCAAGTAAACTAAACATTGACCAATGAACCATGAAAATGAGGTCAAGGTCAGATGAACCATGCTAGGCAGGCATGTACAGCTAACAATTCTTCCATACAACAAATATAGTTGACCTATTGCTTATAGTTTAAGAAAAACAGACGAAAACACAAAAACTTAACACTGAGCAATGAACCTTGAAAATGAGGTCAAGGTCAAATAAAACCTGCGTGACTGACATATAGATCATAAAATATTTCCATACACCAAATATAGTTGAACTATTGCATATAGTATTAGAAAAAAAGACCAAAACTCAAAAACTTAACTTTGACCAATGAACCATGAAAATGAGGTCAAGGTAAGATGACACCTGCCAACTAGACATGTACACCTTACAATCATTCCATACACCAAATATAGCTGACCTATTGCATGCAGTATTAGAAAGAAAGACCAAAACTCAAAAACTTAACTTTGACCACTGAACCATGAAAATGAGGTCAAGGTCAGATGACACCTGCCAGCTAGACATGTACACCTTACAATCATTCCATACACCAAATATAGTAGACCTATTGCATACAGTGTAAAAAAAACAGACCAAAACACAAAAACTTAACTATAACCACTGAACCATGAAAATGAGGTCAAGGTCAGATGACACCTGCCAGTTGGACATGTACACCTTACAGTCCTTCCATACACCGAATATACTAGACCTATTGCTTATAGTATCTGAGATATGGATTTGACCACGAAAACTTAACCTTGTTCACTGATCCATGAAATGAGGTCGAGGTCAAGTGAAAACTGTCTGACGGGCATGAGGACCTTGCAAGGTACGCACATACCAAATATAGTTATCCTATTACTTATAATAAGAGAGAATTTAACATTACAAAAAATCTGAACTTTTTTTTCAAGTAGTCGCTGAACCATGAAAATGAGGTCAAGGACATTGGACATGTGACTGACGGAAACTTCGTAACATGAGGCATCCATATACAAAGTATGAAGCATCCAGGTCTTCCATCTTCTAAAATATAAAGCTTTTAAGAAGTTAGCTAACGCCGCCGCCGCCGCCGTAGCCGCCGCCGCCGCCGCCGCCGGATCGCTATCCCTATGTCGAGCTTTCTGCGACAAAAGTCGCAGGCTCGACAAAAACCACAAAAAATTGGTAAAAATCATCATCAAAGGGCATCAACTCTAATCAGGAGTTGACTGACAATTTCGACCATTAGACTTATTTGTAGAACTTGTTTTGCTGATCATTTTTGCAATTTAGTTTCCCATCTAGTATAGCTTTCAAGATAATAGGCAAAAATGAAAATAAATGGTAAAATTTGCCATTTATGGGCAATAACTCCTATAACAAGTCGTCTGACAGTTTTGGCTTATATGAACAATTAGTAGAGCTCAACATTCTGAACATTTTTGTCCAAGTCAGATTTTCTCTATTCATAACGGTTTTGAAAATAATAGACAAAACTTGCATTTTACCCCTATGTTCTATTTTTAGCCATGTCGGCCATCTTGGTTGGCAGGCGGGTCATCAGACACATTTTTAAAACTACATACCCCAATGATGATTGTGGCCAAGTTTGGTTAAATTTGGCCCAGTAGTTTCAGGGGAAGATTTTAGTAAAAGTTAATGACGACAGACGACGACTGTGCCAAGTGATGAGAAAAGCTCACTTGGCCCTTCAGGCCAGTTGAGCTAAAAAAGAAATGCAAAGTAACTAAAATATAATAACAACACTTTATTAATCAATGTTGTACAATGAAACAGAAATCCTAAATCAGGTTTATATGACAAATGGTAATGGTGTACCATTGATGCAAAAAAATGGTTAACAAGTATTAATATGAAAGATTGAAAGTAGATATTTACAAACATGAATTCCAATCAAGTTAGCTGCATATACATATAGATTATACCTCTGTATACAGGAAGAATTGAGACCATAAAGTATTTAATTGTAAAACATAATTTTCTGAGCAGTGTAAAAGATTTCAAGTTAAATGGTCTTTTGTGGGAAAATGGTGTTTGCAATGTTTCTTTGATGATTCTTAAGAAATATGTAGGCTAACTATAGATTGTTTGCTTTATGTCCAGTAGCAAATATCTATGCATGTTCAGGACAATGTAGGCAAACTATGAGGTGAATCTGTTGCCTGATTTTCTGTTTGACATCACAAGGGATTATTTGTCGTTCTCCTCTTCTTGGCAAAACTATTAACAGGGTACAAAAAACGAACATCATAGCTAAACTTAAACCAATGGAGAGCTCAGAATAATTCACATCATAAAAAAAAGAACACATTGACAATTTTAGTAAGCATAGAATAAAAAAGATGTAGCATGCTAACCGACTGTATGTAGAAGTCCTTTGGGCATCTAAACATAAAGATACATGTACATGATGTATGTCACTTATTTGTTGTGGAATATCTCTCGGTTTTTTAAGACACCAAAACACCTCTTGTTTTTTTCATTTATATTAAGTGTAACAATAACATTAAGAACACAAAACCAAACACCTCTTGTTTTTTCCATTTATATTTAGTGTTACACTTACACTAACAACACACGACCAAACACCTCTTGTTTTTCCATTTGCATTTAGTGTTACACTTACACTAACAACACATGACCAAACACCTTTTGTTTTTTTTTCTATTTGTATCAATTGCTACACTTACACTAACAACACACGACCAAACACCTTTTGTTTTTTTTCCATTTATATTTAGTGTTATGCTTACACTAACAACACACGACAAAACACCTTTTTTTTCCATTTATGTTTAGTGTGACACTAACATTAGAACACAAACCCAAACACCTCTTGTTTTTTCCATTTGTATTTAGTGCGACACTTACACTAATAACACATGACCAAACACCTTTTTTTTTTTTTTTCCATTTGTATTTAGTGCGACACTAACAACACACATTCAAACAGGAAGATCTTGTTATATATACAAAGAAATATAGGCTAATTGCCGAACAACAGATGTACATCAATCACACTGATTGTTCATGGTATGTCTCAGACTTGGAAGTCTACACACATTACAAAAAGAAATATCCACATCAAGTGCTAAGTTCCAAATAATTTTTCCCACTGTTTATGTTTTACAAAACGGTAGATGCAATCATGTTCATAAGGGAAATGATAATTATTTAAATAAAAACAACGAGATGAAGCAGAAATTTCTAAGCCTCCAAAGCGCTAAGAGTTCATCCCAAATCTGTTGGGAATTTGTACTGACCGAACTTTATTGCAATTTTTGTGGACTTTTTTGTCTTTCCTGCAACTCTCTTCTGTTAGCCATGGTACTGTCTGTACTTCCAACTATTTATTGCCCTGTTAGTATCTTTTAATTAAACTTATAGTTTTCTTCTTTGACTATCATTCTCTGATGAATACAATGGCACAAACGCCACAAAGACATTAAAATCCCCTGCTCATACCAAAAGGCTACGAGAAACAGATACTGTAAATTCAAGAAATTTTAGCAACTGTTGAACAATGGACAAACATGGAAGTTTATTTATTACAATTTGACAAAATGCTGCATACAAATAAATTTCCATTTCTAATTACTGTGATAAATAACCATTCAGTTATGTTGTTTTTAATGATGTCATCTAATATGAAAATAAAACCGTACATACATTCTTTTTGTAATTACATTTTATATACATCAAGATCACACAGTTCTGAGTGGTATTGATGATCAACAGTGAAGTACTTAGGGGTCAAATGAAGCAGAAATATTTTTTTTGAAGAAAAAAAAATTTAATGGTTTTTCTATTAAAATGGCAAGAAGTGCTTCTCATCTTTTCTGTATTGATTTAAATTTTCTGGAATAAAATTCATTTCACAAAATAAACTATGTATGTATGCTGTAAATTCAGATATTATTGCGATTCTTTGAGAATGGCTAAAAATCACGAGATTGATTATTGCCATTCTTTGAGAATAGCTAAAAATTGCGAGATTGATTATTGCGATTTCAGGAAAATACAGATATATTTGTCAAATAAGAGAATGCGAGTTCTTATTATTGCAATACTCAAATTAATATAAACCTCGCAATAATTTCTGAATTTACAGTATATCATTCTCTTGCAAGTTGTCGATTCAGGTTTAACTCTTTCAACATATTGAAGAACTGTTTTAAAATATGTCAAGTGTTTTCCAGTAGTGTGATTTTTTTCTACATATATTTTGGATACTGTCTCCTGTGTATCTGCCCAATGTATTTTCATTTTAACATAAACGAAGTGTAATATTACATAACCATCCATATATGGTTTCTTATGTTTAAGCACTATACAATTTGGATTCAAACTGTAAATTTAGGTTCAAACTAACTTTAAGACATTTATTTACACCTCAATAAAACGTTAATTTAAGATACAAAAATTAAAAACAAAACAAAAAATTTGTGATTAATGACCCTTATCATATGATAAACCATCTTTTAAGCTATTTGCTATTTTAAATAGTAAAAAAACTTACAAGAACATTTTCTTTCTTAATGACTCACATATATATATCTACCTTTCTTACATGTAATCATATATTCACCAAAAACAAGTCAAAATTATACACTTAACATTTTCAAGCATTAAAAATGACGACGAGTCGCATAAAAAACAATAAATGTCCATATCTTTGGAGAATCAAGATGCATTCATTATAGAAGATTCTAAATTAATATTCACCTCAGCCTTCTGCCTTGGTAAATATTAACTTGTGATAACACATCAATTTAATACAGCTTGCTTAAAATCATAACAGAATTATAACACAATGTACAACTATGTCAAAACCCAAACAACAACAAAAATTAACATCAGCTTTGTATATTAAAACCATACATACACACCAAATATCCCACTTTAAAATCCTCAATTCTTTTGTTACTATATAAAGCAAAGTATGTGTAATTTCCTATATTGTAAAGATATATGTTTAGTCAAATTACACATAGTTAAAATAACTACCGGTAATCCCCTGACCATCATTACACACCCAACTATCTCAATACAAAAGAAAAAATGAAAATAACCTGAATATAGACTTCATTATGGTCACAAAAATTGAAAATGTTGGAATATAGACTTCATTATGGTCACAAAAACTGAAAATGATCTAAATAGGCACTCAAGGGTTTCTCGATTTAATGTAATGTCAGGGTAGGAAATGAACATTCGTCTTAGGTCATTTATGGTAATATGTAAGATCCTCAAAGTATGTTGGTTGCTGATGGAATTTCGAGGTCCTTTCCTACCCTCCCACTTCCAGTTTAATGGAATAGCCATAAATTTGCATAAAAATAACCTAAAATATGCTTTAGAAATTTAACCATCATCCTGTCGACCAAAGGGTAAAAGTATAAGGCCAGGCAACATTCTACACACTGGGGGTAATTTGATACCAGTCTTTTTTTTTTTAATGTATAAATCAAAATTAGTGACATGCCTAGAGTAACAATACTTTAATATCAATAGCACTCATGCATAACCCCAAAGGTAGCCAAAGATTCAGCCATTTTGGGGATGTGCGAGATTGACGTTTTAAATCTACTACAGTGGATTCATTATTATTTGTGGAATACCAATTTTCGTGGATTAAGTGGATACAGGTGAACAACGAATTTAAATGTTCAACGAAGTACAATTTTTCTATAGACCTGTATGTAGACTACCACAAAATCAAATATTCACGAAAACATAATTTGTCCTTAATCCATGAAAATGGGTAGCCATGAAAATAAATGAATCCACAGTACTTGTTCTCTCATCTCTGGTCAAGACCAATCAAACTATGCCTTATACTGTGGAGTCATTCATTTACCTAGTTCGAAGAAAAGACAATTTACAATACCAACTTTTAAAGAGTACTTGGTTTCAGATACACTTGTTTAATAGTTTTCTAGAATCTGATTGTCTAAGCCATACCAGATTTGTATTTCAGTGAAGACTTTTATGGTTTGCCACTTCCAAGGAAAACTACAATACTTAGTATCACAGGAGTTGTATGATAATTCTACAATTTTTATAATCCTGCGAGTTCTACGACACTTAGTATCCCAGGAATTCTACGATACTTAGTATCCCACAATGATAACTATGATGAACTAACAAAAATGAAACTATGTTTTTGATACTCCACTAGACAGAGACATACACACACATTATGTTATAGTATAAAGTAACAAAAGAATATCTGACATGACACAAGTGACCATTATAGCACTGCTCAGATGAAAATATGTCTTAATTATTGTAAACATTTTAATGAATGCAGTTGTTTTTTCTGTGAAATAAATGAGCCAATTTCTATGTCAAACATATATGAATAAATCTGTACAAAAATATAAAATCATGAACTTCAATAAAAAATCCAGAATGATTAAACAAAAACTCCCACGTATCAATTCAACCATTCAAAGACAAAAATGCATTTTTCTTTTTACCTATGGAATGCAGTATTAATTTATGAACAGTTGAACAATGGTCACTTGAGATGTATGTTTATGGCTGATGTATAAATGAATGGTACTATAAACAGTAAAATGACTCAACTACACTTGTCTGTGATGACAATATGATTCATGACATTTCTTCATCTGCTGAATTTCTTCGCCCCATTGGACCTCTACGATTGCGACGGTCAAATGGCAAATCATCATTCCTATCTGGGTTAAAGTTCCTAAAGTTTCTGGATTTTCTTTCTCTTCTCTCCAAACTTCTGAAGGGATTTGGGTCACGGTCCACTTCTTCATCACTAACTTCCATAAGATCAAAAGGAGGTCTTTCCCTGAATGGTTCACGGAATCGATCATGAGGCATATCAAACATGCCTCTTGGTCCATCAAAACCCCCACGATCCCTAGGTCCATCAAATCCTAAACGACCCCTCGGCCCATCAAAATCATCAAAGTCCCTAGGTCCATCAAATCCAAAAGGACCCCTAGGTCCATCAAAATCGTCACGGCCCCTTGGTCCATCAAAGCCACCACGTCCTCTATGTCTATCAAAGCCACCACGACCTCTTGGTCCATCAAAGCCCCCAGGACCTCTTGGTCCATCAAAGCCTCCAGGACCTCTTGGTCCATCAAAGCCTCCAGAACCTCTTGGTCCATCAAAGCCTCCAGGACCTCTTGGTCCATCAAAGCCCCCAGGGCCTCTAGGTCCATCAAAGCCCCTAGTGCCTCTTGGCCCATCAAAATCATCAAAATCCCTAGGTCCATCACCTCCAAAAGGACCCCTGGGTCTATCAAAATCATCATGACCTCTAGGTCCATCAAAACCACCACGACCCCTTGGTCCATCAAATCGCCTTGGGGGACCATCAAATAATGGAGACCTATTAGATGGAGGGTTATCTATCATCATTCCAGGACCAGGTTCTATACTAGGTCTCCTAGGACCCCCTCTGGCAAGTCTCAAGTCTAACAGGGCTCTAGGAGGTGGTTCATCTAAATCTAAGAGTGATGGTGGTCCTGGTCCCTTTTTTACTGGTGGTCTTGGGCCATGACCAAGCACTGAAGGTGGACCTGGTCCAAGCAAACTTGGTCCATCATCTAAAAAAAAAATTTAAATAAATAAAATACAATTTATGTAAGTTAAAATCTAATATGAACAATAAGCATACATATTTTCTTGATCTTTGTCTATTTTATATTTAAAATGATAATAAACAATCTCTATATTTTCTGTCCTCTGAAAAAGTGAGTTGTTTATCCTAAATAATAAACCTTCAAATGTCTGAATATTCTTTATTCTGTCTGAATATTCTTTACTCTGTCTAAACATTCTTTACTCTGTCTGAATATTCTTTACTCAATATTCTTTACTCTGTCTGAATATTCTTTACTCTGTCTGAATATTCTTTACTCAATATTCTTTACTCTGTCTGAATATTCTTTATTCTGTCTGAATATTCTTTACTCTGTCTGAATATTCTTTACTCTGTCTAAACATTCTTTACTCTGTCTGAATATTATTTAATCTGTCTGAATATTCTTTATTCTGTCTAAACATTCTTTACTCTGTCTGAATATTCTTTACTCTGTCTAAACATTCTTTACTCTGTCTGAATATTCTTTATTCTGTCTAAACATTCTTTACTCTGTCTGAATATTCTTTACTCTGTCTAAACATTCTTTACTCTGTCTGAATATTCTTTACTCTGTCTAAACAGTCTTTACTCTGTCTGAATATTCTTTATTCTGTCTGAATATTCTTTATTCTGTCTGAATATTCTTTATTCTGTCTGAATATTCTTTATTCTGTCTAAACATTCTTTACTCTGTCTGAATATTCTTTACTCTGTCTAACCATTCTTTACTCTGTCTGAATATTCTTTACTCTGTCTAAACATTCTTTACTCTGTCTCAATATTCTTTATTCTGTCTGAATATTCTTTATTCTGTCTAAACATTCTTTACTCTGTCTAAATATTCTTTACTCTGTCTAAACATTCTTTACTCTGTCTGAACATTCTTTATTCTGTCTGAATATTCTTTATTCTGTCTGAATATTCTTTACTCTGTCTGAATATTCTTTATTCAAGCAGTAAGTTTTGTGAGAACATAATCAGAATTTAGTCATCTTTTGTAACTGGAAGCTTAACCAAACTTTGTCATATTTTCTATCATGTTTATTATATTATCAGCATCTACCAATTGTCAAACTATAGTTAGAGTTCTATACATATTCAAAATTTTAGTAATAAAAAATTCAAATTTTAGAATTACATTGTTTATTTCACAGTGTATCTTTATCTATACAGAATACAAACTCTGATGATTAATTTCAAATTTTTTGCCAAGTAATTAAAAGTCGCTCTATAGGTCAAACAGTGAACATTTATTGACAAAATTAATTTCAGGTAATGGAGTGAATAAATTGACCATGACAGCAACCAATTAGGTGTTCACCTTTCTATACAACATAATTCAAATATTCAAAGGAGTTCATCCTTAGTCAAGTGTTCATTACATGTTGCATTTGTATTTCAACAAGCATTCTGAGAGTTTTGCATGGCAATACATAGTCCCCTACCGGTTAAAAATCAATTGTACTGGAACAAAATGCTAACTTGATCTATAACTTGTCATGGTGTAAACTATATAACAAATATCAAGTCAATATCTTCAAGCATGACGAAAAAAAGTGTGGAAAACTGATAATTTAAGTGAATTTTCTAAGTCCAAGGACCATAACTCTGCAAAAAATCATCAAACCGAAACAAAATTCAAACTTGGTCTGTAACTTGTCATGATAAAACTATATACCAATTATGAAATCAATATCTTCAAGCATGACAAAAAAAGGTGTGGAAAACTGATAATTTGAGTGAATTTTCTAAGTCCAAGGACCATAACTCTGCACAAAATCATCAGACCGGAACAAAATTCGAACTTGATCTGTAACTTGTCATGATAAAACAATGTACCAATTATTAAATCAATATCTTCAAGAATGATGAAAAAAAGTGCAGAAAACTGAATATTTGAGTGAATTTTCCAAGTCCAAGGACCATAACTCTGCACAAAATTATCAGACCAGAACAAAATTCAAACTTGATCTGTAACTTGTCATGATAAAACAATATACCAAATATCAAATAAATATCTTCAAGCATGAAGAAAAAAAGTGTGGAAAACTGATTTGCCAGACTGACGGAAGGACAGACAGATGGACAGACAGACGGACAGACAGACAGACAGACGGACAGAGTGCAAACCTAAAGTCCCCTTCGACTTCGTCCGTAGGGGACTAATAAATAGAATTGCAGGTTAGTGCATACATATAACTAGTTAACCATAGGGCATTTAGTGCCTGTATCATGTTAGGTTATCTGGATCATGTGTTGTGTTGTTATATTTTTTTCTACGTCTCCTTTTTCTCAGGACTACAGGAGAGTTTAACAACCTTGACTACCCCTAAGGGTCTCACACGGTCGGTTTCAAGTCAAGTGTTGGTTTGGTCTGTTGTGGTAATATTTTTGGTAATTAGCTGTTTTCCTTTATATCTATCGTTTATCACAAAAGAACTGTATTATTCATTTACAAATATTTTCTTTAAACTTTAGACTTCTGTATAAGACCCTCCCTCAATTTCTGACAACTGAAGAATTAAAATCAATTTATTTCTGTAAACACAGAAAACGTTTTACCCAATAAAATCAATATTTTGAAATAGGTAGCTAAATCTGTACTCGTGAAATATGAAGATTGGCAGTGCATTACACGCACATATTGTTGAGTGGCATAAATGTGTTGCCTAACCACTATAACCTTACCTTTTGTCATTGTTATTTTTCCACCAGGCCCATACACAGGCAGAGGACCACGTCCTGCTTTCTGTCTGTGCTTTTCACTATTTAAATGTTCAAATATATTGTCTTCAAACATTGTCTGATGATTACATAAACAACACTTAAATATTTCTACTTCCCTACAAAAACAAGACCACATAAAATTAATCAAAACAATTCTAAAAAAAATCTCTTTCAGCTGGCATTTGTAGATTTTGATATTATTCTACTGAAGATAATTGGAAATTTAATTTGAATATATGCAACATATTGAAAATGGGAATAAAGTGAGATTGGTACATTTGTACTTAGTAACAAACAATAAATTTAGTTATTTAAGTATATAACAGAGAAGAAATATTGTAGCTCTACAGCAACAGAAAGACAATATTTTTCTACCATAATTTCTTATAATTTTCATGTAAAAAGGAGGAGGTTTGATATGGGCCATTATTTGGTCCCTGAAATTGCAAAAATAGTTAAATTTTTCATGCCTTTATATTAAGATCATTGTAAACTAATCTTGTAGCCAAATATCTTTGTGGGTAAAGCCATGGCTCTAAATATGAATGACAAGATCTCAAAATGAGGCTATTTCAACAGTTTTTGCTGTTTTGTTGCTCTTGCACTAAATTCAATACAAAAATACAAAAACAGACAATTGTCTTATATTTCGTATATTTATATTACTTTTTGATTTTCAAATTCAAGGGGCCAAAAAGTGGCCTTATGATGCCTTTACTGTTTAAACTTTGTCTTAAAAAATTTGTCCTTAATAGACACCATAATTAACTTTCACTCAATTTTATAATGTGCATCAAAGTAGCAATTAATTGCAAACGACAAGTCTAAATTATGAAAGTAAATATTTTAAAAAATTATGATTGATTGCTGTTTAACGTCCAGTGGCAAATTAAATGCATATTCAGGACCAGAACAAGTTAATGTGAGATGGATATAAATCCTGCTTTTGATACACCCAAACCCTCAGCTGGACTTTAAACATGCTAGCTATATAGCTCACATGATTACAGTCCCCAATAAAATGCTCCGCTGGGCGCAGCTTGATACGACCGCAGAGGTGCAAACCCTGAACAGTTGGGGCAAGTATGGACACAACATTCAAGCTTGATACAGCACTGAATTTGGATTGTGATTAAATATTTGACACAGCATAGGTTTCTGACACAGAATGAATGTGGTCTAAGAACTTAAAATTTTTTAATTTACCTATTCAAACCGTATTATTATTATTTGCTTTTATATATAAATCAGAAATAACCAATTTAAAATGGAAAATTTTAAAGAAAAAAAAAGGAAAAAAAGGAAAAAAAAATCCCCCCCCCCCAATTTTTTGAACCCCCTTATGATTCATCACCCCCAAACTCAATCCCAGCCTTCCCTTTGTGGTATGGTACCTTGCAGTACAATTTCAGAGAGATCCATACACTTGAACACATGTTATTGTCTGGAAACAAGAAAAATGCTTGTTTTTTTGCCCCTTTTTGGCCCAAATTCCTAAACGTTAAATATAATTACCCCCAAACTCAAACCCAGCTTTCCCTTTGTGGTATGGTACCTTGCAGTACAATTTCAGAGAGATCCATTCACTTGAACACAAGTTATTGTGTGGAAACTAGAAAAATGCTTATTTTTGGCCCCTTATTCCTAAACGTTTTGGGCAATTACCCCCAAACTCAATTCCAGCTTTTCCTTTGTGATATGGAACCTTGTAGTACAATTTCAGAAAGATCCATACACTTACACACAAGTTATTGTCATGAAACTAGAAAAATGCTTGTTTTTTGCCCCTTTTTTGGCCCCTAATTTCTAAAATTTTGAGGCAATTACCCCCAAAATCAAACCCATCATCCCCATTGTGATATGGAACCTTGTGGTACAATGTCAGAGAGATCCATACACTAACACACAAGTTATGTCTGGAAGTTACAAAAATGCTTATTTTTGGCCCCTAATTCCTTAACTGTTGGTACCATAACCCCCAAAATCAATCCCAACCTTCCTTTTGTGGTATTGAACCTTATGGTAAAATTTCATAGAGATCCATTCACTTAAACTAAAGTTATAGTGCGATAACCAATGTGTTTTCGGACGACGACGACGCCAACTTCATACCAATATACGACCGCAAAATTTTTTGGCGGTCGTATAAAAATACTAATCACCTACCAGGACACATTATTCTGATTTTGCTAAGTATAAGGTATGGGTTTTGCTCACAGTTGAAAACCATACAGTGCCCTACAGTTGCTAATATCCACTTCATTTGGATTCTGGTAGATAGTCCTCTCATTTAGAATCCTACGACATCTCCTTTTTTTTTTATAAAATGTAATGTGAACTTTGTTTCAAGTAGATGTGACCATCTAAAATTCATTGGAAACTACCAATAAAATGCTTCACTGAGTGCAGCTGGATACGACCGCAGAGGTCCAACCCTGAACAATTGGGGCGAAAATGGACACAATATTCGCGCTTGATACAGGTCTGAATTTGGATTGTAATTAAATATTTGACACATATAAATAGGTTTCTGACACCGAATAACTGTAGTCAAAGAACTTAGAATTGGTTATATGATTTGAATTTATATTCAATTTTTTGCTTTTGTGCAATACACTATGATGTTGCAAATTGACCCCCCTCCCCCCCCCTTTTTTTTTGCTTTTGTGAAATACATTATGCTGTTGCATATTGACCCCCCCAAAAAAAAAAATTTTTTTAACAACCCCCTCCCCCCCCCCTTTTTTTGCAAAAAAAAAAAAAATATTTGAAGAAATTTCTTTATTATTTCTGAAATCTGATGTGAAAAAAAAATGCCCCCCCCCCCCCCCACCCACAATTTCTTTTTTATCCCACTTCCCTTCCCCCCCCCCCCCCCCCCTTTTTCCAAAAAAAAATTCTTTCCCTCAAGATATGGTCATGATCTCAATTCAAATTTCCAATGGAGTTTGCAACCATAATTACCAAATTTAAATACCTCATAAAAGTCTTAAATATATAATTTAAAAGCAGTGTAAGGGAGGCAATCCAACATTGTACAATTTTGTTTTTGGATTACCTCCCTTACACTGCTTTTAAATTGTCCATTAACCAGGAAACCCTTGTTTTTTCCCCTTTTTTGCCCCGAATTCCTTAACGGTTTGAGCCATAACCCCCCAAAGCCAATCCTAACCATCCCTTTGTGGTATTGAAACTTGTGGTATAATTTTCAGAGAGATCCATACACTTAAACACAAGTTATTGTCTGGAAGTTACAAAAATGCTTATTTTTGGCCCCTAATTCCTTAACTGTTGGTACCATAACCCCCAAAATCAATCCCAACCTTCCTTTTGTGGTATTGAACCTTATGGTAAAATTTCATAGAGATCATTCACTTAAACTAAAGTTATTGTGCGAAAACCAATGTGTCTTCGGACGACTAAGATGACAACGCCAATGTCATACATGTACCAATATACGACCACAAAATTTTTTTGCAGTCGTATAAAAACCAAAACAATAACCTAATATGAGATTAACTAATGAATAGCAGACTTACAGAATGACCGATGCATAGATTTGAAAACATAAAGCCCCTACATATCATAGATGGGGTATAAAAACAAAAAATTGATACACTGAGAGCACAAAAATGTTACACATTCTGCAATTTTCAAGCCTGGAGTATTATTATTAGCTTGTGTGCAAGACATTGCCACCATTTTCATTTGGTTGAAGTTACCAATTAAATGTCTTAAACATTCCTATACATTCTTACTTGGAAATATGTGGAGCATCTTCCTTTAAAAGTTCAAATCCAACATCTTGTTTGCCTTCTAACTTTAACATCTTCTTTTTATGATTTTTACCCTTGAAATGGGCCTCTGCCATTGATGGGTGCTGGAATGCCATCTCACATATATCGCAACAATCTGGAAAGTTTATATCCTACAAAAACATTTAGTATTCATAAACAAACAACATCAATTCTTTACAAAGACAGCCTCAAGAGCGGCAATTCTATTTTAAAAAACTTCGCTAAGTAATACTGTGGATTCATTTATTTTCGTTGGTACCAATATTTGTGGATTAAGGAAAACTTACATGTTCATGGATATTTAAATTCGTGGTTTCGCCAAAGTATGCATACAAGCCTATAGGAAATTTGTCATTCGTTGAACATTTAACTTCATAGTTTACCTGTACCCACGAAATCAACGAAAATTGGTATCCCACGAATACTAGTGAATCCACAGTATTTTATGTAAATCCATTGATCACTAAAGTTGACATCTTCAATAAAGTATAATTCCCTATGTTAAATTTTGGGGTTATAGCAGAGAGTGAATATTGAAAATTCTTGTTTTGACATTTGTTTTTTATCAATTCAAAACATGTTATGATCAAACTAAAGTAATTCAATGCCATTTGTTGAAATAATTTAATATTTTCTGAATGCTTTGAAACATAGCAATAACATAATTATTTCCTTTGAAAATAAACTGCTTCGCTGAGCGCAGCTGGATATGCCCGCAGAGGTCTAACCCTGAACAGTTGGGGCAAAAATGGACACAATATTCAAGCTTGATACAGGTCTGAATTTGGATTGTAATTAAATATTTGACATATTATAGGATTCTGAATAAATGTAGTCAAAGAACTTGAAATTGGTTATATGAATTGAATTTATATTCAATTAAAGATTTCTTGCTGTTGTGAAATACACTATGCTGTTGCGCAATACTTAGTAAATCTGTTGTCAGACTATAAACAAATAAAATTTATAAAATTTTAAAGGGAGCTAATTTTTGCGCCTGTCCCAAGTCAGGAGCCTCTGGCTTTGTTAGTCTTGTATCATTTTTAATTTTAGTTTCTTGTATATAATTTGGAGTTTAGTATGACGTCCATTATCACTGAACTAGTATACATATTTGTTTAGGGGCCAGCTGAAGGACGCCTCCGGGTGCGGTAGTTTCTCACTGCATTGAAGACCCATTGGTGGCCTTCGGCTGTTGTCTGCTCTATGGTCGGGTTGTTGTCTTTTTGACACACTACCCATTTCCATTCTCAATTTTAGCTTACATCAATAGATATAAACAATTCACAAAAGTTTCATAAGAATTGCTGAAAGCATTTTTGAGTTATTGTCTGAAAACTGGAAAATCACCCTTTATTAAATGAATAAAACCCCATAACTCGGAAATGTAAAATCTAAAATTTATAAAATTCTAAGGGGAGCTTACATCAATAGATATCAACAATTCATCAAAGTTTCATGAGAACTGCTGAAAGCATTTTTGAGTTATTGTTGAAAACTGGAAAATCCCCCTTTTTTTTATGAATAAAACCCCGTAACTTGGAATCGTAAAATCTAAAATTTATAAAAATCAAAAGGGAGCTCATGTCAATAGATATAAACAGTTAACCAAAATTTCTTGCAAGTTGGTGAAAGCATTCTTGAGTTATTGTCCGAAAACTGGAAAATCCCCCTTTTTTTTAATGAATAAGACCCCATAACTTGGAAACGTAAAATCTAAAATTTATAAAAATCAAAAGGGAGCTCATGTCAATAGATATAAACAATTAACCAAAATTTCTTGCAAGTTGGTGAAAGCATTCTTGAGTTATTGTCCGAAAACTGGAAAATCCCCCTTTTTTTTAATGAATAAAACCCCCATAACTTTGAAACGTAAAATCTAAAATTTATAAAAAACGAAAGGGAGCTCACGTCAATAGATATAAACAATTCACCAAAGTTTTATGCAAATTGGTTTAAGCGTTTTTGAGTTTATGTCTGACATGTTGACGACAGACTGACAGACAGACAACGGTATACCATAATACGTCCCGTAAACGGGCGTATAAAAAATGACATATATATATTGATGCTTTTACAAAAATTTGTCAAAATCTGTTTTAATAGTTTTAAGTCAAATTTTCTTATCTTTCCTCAATTTCAGAGCTTCTTTATAGGAAAAAAGCCAGGACCCCAGAATTTTTTTTAAAGAACATTTCAATGTATCTCTACTTAGGGCACCTTCATATGTCTGTAGACTAGATCCATAAACAAAAAAGTATCAATACTTATCAACTTATGCATGATTTCATTTCATTCCTTAATTTCTCCAAAAATTTGTAAATCAACATTCAGTTTTCATCCAGTATTCCCAATATTGCAAATATGAGACCCTAAGTATGTTACCGGTATTATGGGCTATGTTCTTCAAAATATAAGTTATAAATATGTATCTAATTTGATAGCATAAAACTGTCTTTACTTATTTGAAAACAAATTTTTTGTTCTCAGGTTTTGACTTTTTTTTGTTTGAAAGACGCCAGCATAATGTTGATGATGTCATGTTATGTCACAAATTCTGACTACTGCTAAAAAAAACATGTTCTGAAAGTTTGTTTCCTTTCAGTAATTGTTGACATTCCAAACCTTATAGAGACTTTTTCTAATTTTCATTCATTTTTTTTTTTAGTGTTTGGAACATGTAGTCATGTCATCTGAAACAATACTGTGACCTTTTGAAGTTCTTTTTTTGCTGTCATTTATTGAACAGTTGCTGTCTGATTGGTGTCCACCCCACATGTCTTCATCAAATACCCAGGTATTACATTTTACTTATTCAAGTTATTACTTTTAACAATATAAATTCAAGACATACCCCTGGTTTTGTATCAGCTTCCTTTTTCTCTCCATTCTCAGTTTTTTGTGATACTTCATTGGCTTTCTTCTCTCCTTCACTCTTTTTTTCACTTTCAGCAGTTTTCTTTTCATCAGTCGGAATGCCAGTCTTCTTAGCTGCTATTTTTGCCAATGTGGCGTCAAGTGCTGCCTGATTTTTGTATGCTCTGACTTTCTTCATGTGTGGTTTGCCCTCATAATGCTGTTTTGCTTGTGTTGCATTGTTCAATTTAGTTTCACAGAGTTTACAGTACAATGGTTGTTTCATGGCCTCAATCTTCTTGTCAAGTTCCGCTTCATCAATATCGGAATAATTGCCTTTGCTTTCCATTGGTTCATCATCTATTTTCTTCAACTCATCTTCTGTTTTCTTCAGGTCATCTGTCTTTTCCTCTTTCACTTCTTTCTTCTCTTTATCTGGCTTTAGAGGGTCAACTTTAGCTATCTTGACAGGAGGTTGAGACTTTTTCTCTTCAACAAGAGAAGACACATTTTCTGTTTTGCGTTTAGCTTGTCTGTCCTCCTTAACAATGTCCATTTTATTCTTATGTTCATTATCATTAAAACTGTCCTTCCTTCCACCAAATGACCTACTTGGAGCTCTAACTGAACCAGAGTTTTCTCTGTCCTTTGAACTGTCTCTGTCCCTAGAATTGTCCCAAGAACTTTCCCTCTCATTCATTCCTCCACTCCCTCTTCCACCATGAAATCCACCTCTTCTGTCACCTCCAAATCCACCTCTCCTGTCATTTTCAAATCCACCTCTTCTGTCACCTCCAAATCCACCTCTCCTTTCATTTTCAAATCCACCTCTCCTATCATTTTCAAATCCCCCTCTCCTGTCATTTTCAAATCCACCTCTTCTGTCATTTTCAAATCCACCTCTTCTGTCATTTTCAAATCCACCTCTTCTGTCACCTCCAAACCCACCTCTATGGTCACCTCCAAATCCACCTCTTCTGTCATTTTCAAATCCACCTCTTCTGTCACCTCCAAATCCACCTCTATGATCACCTCTTCGGTCACCACCAAAACCACCTCTTCCTCTGTTATCTCCAAAGTCCCTAGGTCTGCCTCTAGAATCTCCCATAAAATCTCCACCTCTCCCTCTGTTATCTCCCATTAGGTCGCCTTCTCTCCCTCTGTTATCACCAAAAAAGTCTCCACCTCTCCCTCTGTTTTCACTTGCAAATTCACCAAGTAAACTTTTCCCTCTTACTCTATTATCGTCAAATTCTCCTTTCACCACATCATCATGTCCAAATCCACCACGACCACGTCCTCCTCCTCCAAAATCTCTACCTCTGCCCCGTCCTTCAAATCTGTCTTCTGATTCCCTTCTTTCACCACGACCTGCAAAACGGTCACCACCCATTCCTCTGCCTCTATCAAAACGATCGTCTTGATCTCTACCACCTCGTCCACCACGACCACCTCGGTGTCCAAAACTATCACGATCATCAGTTCCATCATAACCACGACCACGTCCACCCCGACCACCTCTGAAGTCTCTTCCCCGTCCTCTGCGATCAAATCTATCATCATCTCTTGAATAATCTCTTTGTGAAGGAACCATGCCTGTCATAAATGGTTTGTCACTGGTATCTGGCGGACCTTCGTCATACATATCATCAGCTGGAAAATTATCAGGATTGAAGCCTGTAGTTCTGGCTGGTGGTGGCGGTTGATAATCACCATATCCTGGTTTCTGGTTACTTGGCGGTACTGCTGGTCCTAGGTTTCCTGGAGAATAATTTTCCGGACTTGGGCCATGTTTGTCATAATTTGATTCCGGCTGTTGATTCCCCCATCTGGATGCTGGCTTTGCGTCACCTTGATTCCCCCATCTGGATGTTGGCTTTGGATCAACTTGATCCCATTTTGATGCTGGTTTTGGATCACCTTGATTCCCCCATCTGGATGCTGGCTTTGGATCAACTTGGTCCCATTTTGACACTGGCTTTGTGTCACTTTGATCTCCCCATCTGGATGCTGGCTTTGTGTCAGTTTGATTTCCCCACCTGGATGCTGGTTTTGTGTCACCTTGATTCCAGTTTGGTCCTTGTTGGTAATCAGTAGTAGGACCTGACTGTTGGTAGTCATAGTTACTTCCAGGCTGGTTACTGTCTTTCCCTTGTTGGTATCTAGCATCTTGCTGGTAACTTGAACTGCTATCTTTGTAACCAGAACTATTGTCCTTGTAACCACTGATTGGTGGCTGACTGCCATATCCTTCAGGATCTTTGGGATAGCTGGACTGATAATCAGTAGAGTCCTGTTTGTAGCCTCCAGGACCAGATCCTTGCTGGTACCCAGAGACATCTGAGCCCTGCTGATATCCTGTGTTTCCCTTGACCTCCCCTTGCTGGTATCCACCTGGTCCTTGTTGGTATCCAGTTCCTCCTTGACTTTGCTGGTAGCCAGTGTTACCTTGTCCTTGTTGATATCCACTGCTTCCTTGATTTTGTTGATATCCAGTGCTTCCTTGATTTTGTTGATATCCAGTGCTTCCTTGTCCTGTTTGGTAACCAGTTGATGAAGGAGGCTGCTGGTATCCAGTACTGGCAGGTCCTGTTTGGTAACCAGATGACCCTTGTGCCTGCTGATAACCTGTACTGCCTGGGGCTGTTTGGTATCCAGAAGAACCTTGTGGCTGCTGGTATCCTGTACCTACTGGTGGTGCTGATTGGTAACTAGAAGCCCCTTGTGCCTGCTGGTATCCTGTATTGCCTGGAGCAGTTTGGTATCCACTGCTGCTCTGGGACTGGTAATTTCCTGCCTGTGAATAGCTTTCAGTACCTTTCGCTTGCTGGTATCCTGGAGCAGACTGCTGATAGCCATAACTGTCTCCTGACTGCTGATATCCTTGATAAGATGAAGTAGCCTTTTCTGGTGTTGGCTCTTTTGTTTTATCTGGTGGAGGTGGTGGCTGATTTGTTCCTTGCTGTGTGCTTTGCTGGTATCCAGAGCCTGAACTAGACTGGTACCCATAATTGCCTTGTCCCTGTTGGTACCAGTTACTTCCCTGCTGATAGCCTGTTGGTGGGTAGCTAGATCCTTGATACCCTGTTCCTTGTTGATAAGGTTGTCCACTAGTCGGTGTACTACTTGCATTGGTTGTAGGAACAGCTCCTGGCATTGAACTAGGCTGACTTGCTGGACTGGCTGCTGGGTAACCAGGAGTTGTGGGAGTTGCCGGTAATGGTGGATTTGCAGGACTTTGTTGCTGGTATCCAGTAGCCTGAGTAGGTGCCTGTTGAGTAGGAGTAGTACTACTTGTCGTTACTGGTTGAGTTTGGCCTGCTTGTTGGTAGCCTGTATTAGAGCTTTGTTGATACTGGTTATAATTGGCCCACATCTGTTGATACTGTTCAGGAGTATAATTGCCATATTGAGAATAATTATACTGAGAGTAAGGTTGTGTGTTACTTCCACTTGTTGAATATTGTTGACTCTGTGATGTTGAGTACTGTGAGTCTGTTGGTGTTGCTGCTGTTGAATACTGTGTTGTTGGTGGTGGTGCTGATGATGTTGAATAGGATGCTGCTGATGTAGAATATTGTGACGGGGTCTGTGTTGTCGTGGGTGGAACTGGTGGCTGGGGTGGTTGCTGCTGTCCTTGATATTGGTTAGATGAATAATAGTTGTATCCTATAAAATAAATTGAAAATTCTTTTAAAAATATAATGATTTAACTATAAAGACTCAATCATCCTGCAACTAATATTCCATTAAGTTTATATTCATTCAATGTAAGCAGACTATTTTAAAAGAACAAAATGTGACCTGAAAAGAGGGGGAAACATAGAACTTGGCACAAGTATTTACAAAATGGTAAAAAAAATTTGATGCTGGCGATTATTCAGTAGCAGACCATATATATATGGGATAATTCTGTTCAGAAGTACTGGAGAAATGTGTGACAAAAATATAATTTCATTCAACATTGAAATAAAATGATTCGCCGAGCGCAGCCTGATACGACCGCAGAGGTTGAACCCTGGCAAGTTTGGACACAATATTCAAGCTCAGTAGCTTGATACTGTCTGAATTTGGATTGTGATCAAATTTATGACATAATATAGGTTTCTGACACAAAATAAATGTGGTCAAAATCTTAAAAATTTGAAATGGGACATTTAATTTACCTAGTATGGTCTGATATCCAAAATCTAACAACATGGTTAGATTCACCATATAAAATAACACCAAAAATTTAATTTTAGTCGAAATCAAACAAAGTTTAATTTTTGACCCTTCAAACCTTAATATGGACTAACTTGAAAACAGGGCCCAAAATAAAAAATCTAAATGCACAATAAGATTCAGCATATCATAGAGCCGCAATAATTCAGTTTTTTGGTGAAATCAAACAAAGTTTAATTTTGGGCCCTTTGGACCTCAATGTAGACCAATTTAAAAATGGGGCCAAATATCCAAAATAGTAATACAAGGTTAGAATCCCCAAAAATTAAAGACTTTAAATTAATCCCATTGAAATTGGTTAAAAGATTTGTATTTATTTTCAATTGAAGATTTCTTGCTTTTGCACAATACTGTGCTATTGTGCAATACTGTGCTATTGAGGATTACTTGCTATTGCCCAATACTGTGCTATTGCGCAATACTGTTCAATTAAAGATTTCTTGCTATTGCGCAATACTGTGCAATTGAAGATTTCTTGCTATTGAGCAATACTGTGCTTTTGCACAATACTTAGTTAATTTTTATATAATAATTTACACACCCTGTTTGGTGTGTATCTCCTGCCATATCAGTATTTGTTGCTTTTATATAAAAATCAGAAATAATCAATGTCAAAATGGAAAATATTTAGGAAATAAAACCAAAAAATTATGAGAAAAAAAAATCCCCCTAAAAAATTTGAAATTTTGAATAATCATGAAGAAAAAAAGTATGAACCCTCCAAAAAAATTGAATAAAAATCCCCCCCAAACTTTTTGAACCCCCCCCTTTCATAAATACCCCCAAACTCAATCCCAGCCTTCCCTTTGTGGTATATATGGAACCTTGTAGTACAATTTCAGAGAGATCCATACACTTAAACACAAGTTAATGTCTGGAAACTAGAAAAATGCTTGTTTTGACCCCTTTTTTGCCCCTAATTCCTAAACATTTGGGGCAATTATCCCCAAACTCAATCCCAGCCTTCCCTTTGTGATATGGAACCTTGTGGTACAATTTCAGAGAGATCCATACACTCACACAAGTAATTGTCCAGAAACTACAAAAATGCTTGTATTTGGTCCCTTTTTGGCACCTAGTTCCTAAACTGTTGGTACCATAACCCCCCAAATCAATCCCAACCTTTCTTTTGTGGTATTGAACCTTCTGGTAAAATGTCATAGAGATCCATTCACTTAAACTAAAGTTATGGACCAGAAACCAAATGTGTCGTCGGATGACGACGACAACGACGCTGACATGATAGCATTATACGAACGCAAAAATTTGTTTGCAGTGGTATAAAAATGAAAAGCAAACAGAAAGTAGTTTTCTGACAAGTTAGAACAGCATTTGAAACTCATCACTGTCAAGCTGTGGACCAAATACCGGTATAAAGTTATTATGTACAGTAGTACTGGAGAAATGTGTGATGAAAATATCAAGTTCTTGCAACAGGTAGAAAATTCTAAGTACATGTATTGGCAACCTGAACCTTATTTATTGCCTGATAAATCAAAGAAGTGCTCACACTTTACAACTCAGTCTTATTGAAATGTTAATATATATCGTAATATACATTAACGACAAGGGTGTTAACTCTGTTTTTTCTTTCAAAGCCAAAATAATTTTCTTCAAAAACTAGTACAAAGATGTATTCCTTAAAATATGGTTTTATAGCTGACTATGTGGTATGGGCTTTGCTCATAGTTGAAGGCTGTATGGTGACCTATAGTTGTTAATTTCTGTGTCATTTGGTCTCTTGTGGAGAGTTGTCTCATTGGCAATCATACCACATCTTCTTTTTTGTTTACAAAATTTAGTGCAAAAAATCAATCCATTAAATCAAGATGCCTTTTTTGTTTTGTTGTGTCATTGGAATGCTTTTTGAGCAGGTGCTTTGTAAAACCATATATAATAACAGAAATTCATTGACAATCTGAATGAAATGAATTATTCATGTTTACCTGATGATGTATAGTTATCGGAGGAATATCCACTAGCTGGTTGCTGATATTGTGAATAACTTCCAGATCCCTGGGGTGGTGGTGGGGGTGGGGCAGCTCCTCCTCCTGCTGTCGCATAGCCTCCTAAAAACAATAATAAAATTAGACTTTAAATTTTAAGATACGAAACTTAAAATTCACCAATCATGTAAGTATCAAGAATGCACACACTGAATTATATCGCTTGCTTTCCACTGAACACCTTTGAATTTTATGTTGAAAGTCTTGAAGATAATGGTTTCACTAGTACAATTACAGACAAATTCATCAAAAGACTGTAGGGAATTGGTAAAACAAACTGCAATGATTTCACTGACTGACCAACAATTTTTGGGGAAAATCTGTTGTTAGCAAAATCATTTTCACCTTTCCCTAATTCTTTGGAAAGAAGTTAGCAATCTTTAGCTTTGTTGATAGTGGAGTGGTACAATGATAGCTAAGATTTATAAAATCTGTAAGTATACAGCATATTACTGTTTAGATAAATGTTAACTATAGAGAAAAAAGATATTTACTATAATTAGGGGGAGGGACTATGATGGACTCAAGACGGGAGTACCGTCCTAATGCACCTGTGTTTTTGGTACTCTACATTTTGTACTATGGTCCATTTCATGTATTGATAGTTATTAAAACATTTTAAGATCTTAAGTTCTCTCTAAAATAATACTAATAGTGTTAGGTCATGAATGGTGTGTGATGTGAAGCACTATGTTAGGTCTTGAATGGTGTGTGATGTGAAGCACTATGTTAGGTCATGAATGGTGTGTGATGTGAAGCACTATGTTGGGTCATGAATGGTGTGTGATGTGAAGCACTATGTTAGGTCATGAATGGTGTGTGATGTGAAGCACTATGTTAGGTCATGAATGGTGTGTGATGTGAAGCACTATGTTAGGTCATGAATGGTGTGTGATGTGAAGCACTATGTTAGGTCATGAATGGTGTGTGATGTGAAGCACTATGTTAGGTCATGAATGGTGTGTGATGTGAAGCACTATGTTAGGCCATGAATGGTGTGTGATGTGAAGCACTATGTTAGGTCATGAATGGTGTGTGATGTGAAGCACTATGTTAGGCCATGAATGGTGTGTGATGTGAAGCACTATGTTAGGCCATGAATGGTGTGTGATGTGAAGCACTATGTTAGGTCATGAATGGTGTGTGATGTGAAGCACTATGTTAGGTCTTGGTATAACTGTTTATGATTGTATCAATAAAGATAAATAGACCTTATCAACATTTTGTACATACTAAGTGTGCCTTTAGTTTTATTGTTTGAATTGTTTCACATTTTTCATGTCACAGCCTTTTATAGATGACTATACGGTATGGGTTTTTCTCATTGTTGAAGGCTGTACTGTGACCTATAATTGCTTTAATCTTTATTTTTTTTTAACTCTAAAGTCTAATGGAAAGTTGTCTCATTGGTAATCAAAAAAATTCTCCCTTTTTTGTTATATAATTACATTTTTAGCATGTTTAGCATGACTCAAGCTCTTTATTGAAATTCCAACACATTATAACTTGTGCCAATACATCAATATATAATCTATTCAAATAATATATTATACCATTATACAACAAGACAACAAAACAAAATATGAATCATGTCCTAAACTAACCCAGGGCAAAAAAACAAGGCCAAGATTACCTTGAAAACAGAACAAAAAGAAGAAGTTATTGTACATTGAGACTACTTGTCAGAATGCTAGGTTTGGTTAGGAACCGACTAAATATACGAACGTAACAATATAATTGTGTCTACAATTACATTGCATTATTGTTAGGATAGATATATCAAATTTTTAACAAACTTTAGTTTCCTTGCTGAATTATCCCATATGCTTATCATGCTTATATTTTCAAACTTCAGATGCGTTTAACTCAAAACTAAAAAAATATCAAGATTCAAATTTTGTACAGTTATATAAACGAAGTTCGCAAAATATTGATGCATCAAAAGCCAAGTTTGACAGCCCGTACCTGTCAACCTCTGAAAATGAAAATGCTGGTACCTGCATTATGGAAATATATAAATAAAAAAATACAAAAATAAATAGGTTAAAAATAATTAAGGGACTTGTATCTCTACAAAAAAAATATGTGTATAAAGAGGTTCATACTTGTTTTAAAAAATTTTAAAAGGATAATTGATATTTGCAAACCGCAAATTTTATAAATCAGGACATACCATTGTATGCCAAGCTTGACTGGCTTCAACCTTTCTGGGGTACAATTAACAAAATAATTAGCAAATTATTACCTTTCAATCAAAAGCGTGTCAAAATTATGTTTTGAATGCTGTAAATTATTCAATTAATAGCAAATTATCAAACTTCCTCTCCAGGAAGAATATCAAATTTCCTGTCAATGGCACTAGAATACGAGTGAAAATGGGTGGTTAGTTGAAATCCCAAAGTTATTTGATGACCGGAACGGGCATTGAAATACCTTAGGTGAGTTGGTAAATTCACGGGTCACACAAGCAAAATGCTAGTCAGTTGACAGGACTAAAATAATGTGAACTTGTACATGCATGCATGTATCCACAGAGGATGTAATTTAATTTTGTTTCAAAATCAGATCCATTACATCCTAACCAAAAGTGGGTTTTCTTTCTAAATAAATATAATGGGTCATAATATCTTAACCAATTTTAAATATATGAATTCATGTAGTAAAATTGAGAATTTAAGTGACAGGGTGTACCCAGTGTTTTTCCACCAAATTTTTTTCTAGTTTTGTGAATATAACCATGATAATATGTCTGCACAATTGAACTTTTCGAAATCTCTGGACCTGTTTGTGTTATGAAATTGTTATTAAAACTATAATATACAATCTGTATGCAAATATTGTATCATTGAATTAATAAAGAATTAAGAGTTTTCAAGTTCTATTTTAATATTTTATATACATATCAAACATTATATACAGGGGTTCAAATTAACATTTGGTACTGGAAGGTCCAGGACCTTTGACACTCCAAACTGAAAGGTCCACAACCTAAATTCCAGGTCCTACTTTTACTTGAAATATTTCCTAACATAGTAAGATACAAGTAACAAAATTAATGTGCTGTTGGTGTTAGGTCATCTTGTTTCATTGTCAAAGTCACTAAAATATTTAATAACAATTGTAATTGTCTTGTATATTATAAATTCAGATAATCTTTTTTTTTTGTTATTGAGGAGGGTGTCACCATGGGTGGGTGTGTTGTCTCAACTATTGGTAATTTATTACTACTTATACCATTTTATAAAACAGTTCAAATTCAAAGCTGTTTAAGCAGAGACGTATATACATGTGTATATATGTCTCTGGTTTAAGTGTATCATATTTAGTTGCACTATTATAATGCATTAGTTCCTTTGTGAAAATAAGATAAGAAACTTCCAGATTTGTACTGGTCCTTTAAAATTGAGAAGACATCAACTCTTGGAATTGTAGTAATACGTTTACACTATACAAAAATCTACATGTAATACATTTATGAACTAAAAGTAATTTTGAGTTTCTGTAAAAAAATATTTCCTACTTTTTCTTTCTTTTCAATATATCTTTTGGTTTTCAATTCTAGTGTTTATATTTTATCATCATAGATGTATTTTGTCAACTGCCTGGAATTATTATTTTTTCATTGTATTTGATCGGCAAGCCCAGAATTACCCTTATCCGCTACGGAATCAGAATTGTTTTTTGTTATTTTCTTCATTTCCGATTTATGGCATCCAATGTTTTTCAATGTTGTTTTGTCAGTCAGATACGATTTTACTCGGATTTACACATAACTAGTTGGCAATTTTCGGTATAAAGCTAGCGGTTGAACAAAATGAACATTGCTGTCATGAATAATAATGATGAAAATAAATTTTGAGATTGTTTGGAAATTTTTGTTTAAAAAGGTCGGCAAAGTTTAATTTATTTTCTTTCAAACCAAAGGTCCGTCGGCCGTAGCTTGTAACCAAAACGAGAGTCTGACTGCAAAAATGGAAGGTCGAAGACCTCGGACCACCGCTAATTTGAACCTCTGAATATATTTTAATTCCCAGCACATTAAACTGGATTGACATAACAATACTTTGAAAACCACAAAGTAAATGTAGACACAAATATCATTGTTACTTCATAACTAATCAGTTCCTAACCCAACCTAGCATTCTGATTATTGTTACATTATCAAAGTAATCATAATTGTAGCCAGTACCATACAGCAAGGGAAAATATAAATCTGACAGGGCGAACAGACCCTGATTCATCTTTAACATATTGATTTGTAATATTCAATGAGCAACAAACATACATGTACCAATAAAAACAAGCTCTAACTCTGAAAGCAAAAAGGGAAACACAATCGAATATCAATTTTAACCAGCTACAACAACTCGATGTGAAGACCCTTATTTAAAAGATTAACAAAAAACAAAAGTTAACAAGAACGCGTTGCACGCAAACAGAAACCACATGGTAAATTTTACAAGCTGACGTTGTGCGTTCATTAAAAAGCTATCAGACAGCTAAGATACATATTCCTGTTGATTTGTCAATGAATTATTACCTGATGCACCAGAAGACATTATGCTTTAACAAGAATGCCTTGGTTTAATGGTACAAATTTCGGCAATAATCGCTGCCGTCGAATTCCCCATTAAGTGTAGCTTCGCAGTAAATAATTTGACCGAAGACCGAAAACTACAAGTTACGAAAACGGTGACACGACGTACAATAATTCGGACATTAGCCTTATACTTTTAGCCTAGTTATTCTTTGCAAGGACGTATATACAAGGCCGTAACTACCATTGAGGCAAGTGAGGCAATTGCCTCACTAAAATTTCGACACTGATTTTTTTTTGTGTATTTGTTTATGGGCATTAAATACGAAATATAGTCATTTGTTTTTCCTGTCTGGGTATTCATTTCCCCATTTCCCCCAACTTTATTAGTTCTCTTTATACAGATAAACAAAATATCAATAATATGAAACCTGCATGGATTAGTTTTTGTCCATGTTTCTTTTACCTTAAAATTTGAAAGAACATCCCGTAATCCAATTTTGACATTATAGAGGGGCGGTAGGACCTTTAAAACGGGATTTCATGTTTTTTAATTCGGGACTACGGGTTTTTGTGTCTTTTAATTCGAGATTTCGGGATCGTACCCCTTCCTACCCCCTTCATTATTCGATTGTCGACCTACTGACTATTTCCAGAAATAATCTTATAAATCACGGACCTACATGTAAACGGCGATTACGCCAGTCCAATTTCCCCGTATCGTATAAAAAAAAACCCTAAAAATCAATATTCCTAGAATAACATAAAACGATATACTAGTTATATCCAATTTGCCGTTTCCATAACATTAAAAGGTAGCATGCGGCAAAAAGAAAAAAACTAAAAATAATATTCCTAAAATAACATAACATGCCAAGAAATCCTCGCTAAAAATTCCGTTGGACCTCCTACGGCACCTATTAGTAGTTAAAGATTTGATTTCATTCAACAAATTAATTTATGACCTGCAAGTACGTGTCGCTTAGAACACGGCCATATACCAAATGGTCAATATTAATCATCCATGTAATTTGCTCTATGGGATGTTTGCAAAATTTCAACGGAGGCAATTTCTTGGCATGACGAGACAGCATCTCAGCGATAAAAGAATATGTTTGAAAGAACTATGCACTTGGCTACCTTTTTTTCTTTAATTCGTTTTTAAAACGTCTTGGCTTCTTCAACTTGAATAATAGAAAATAAAACTATATATCAAACGAAAACTGGATAAAGTGAGAAACAAGTTTCTTTCATTAGTGAAAATTACTGCTTCATTGCTTATCTCAGAGTTCGACCCCTACACGTGGTAGCTTGGTTCGACTCCAATCTTAATTGACTAGGATTGACAGTTTCCTTGCCGAAGGTCAGTGGTTCTCTCCGGGCGTCCCAGCTTTCTACACACAAAAAAAGCTGGTCACCATGAAATAGAAAATAATGATAAAAGTGGCGTTAAAGACCAACAATGAATACATCAATCATTGTATATCTTAGACGTTTCAAACACATCTCGTAGTTTTTTTAAACACGAATCTATTTTTTTTAAATTGAATTTGACAATAGCAATTTTCCCGGATCGTATAATGGTGAATCCGGATAACACTGTGATATGTGCCGTTGGACATGAAAAAGCTTAACCTCTAATAATTTTGAATAACTAGGAGAATAGATGAATTTTAAAGCAGAACTATTTTAATTATTTGTCGGCTATTTTAGGGGAAAGCAATAAGTATTGAGCAGATATTCAAGATTTCCGAGGATAAGGCAACATTAAAGGGACCTGTCTTTAAAGGTTGGTGTGTCCATCATATTACATATGTGGCAACCTTTTGTTTAAGGCTTAAAACAATTTAAACTTTTCAAAGTTATTCAAGTTCCATTACTAACTTAATGTCGACACCTTATAATGTAGAATATCTATTTTAAACAGAAAAGGGTAATTTCTATGTCAAAAGATTGCAAAATTTCTGAGAATGAATAGAACAGTCCCTATTCGAATGCAGCATTTGCTAACTTAGTAGACATGTCTTTGACAAGCAATACTTTGAACCACTGACAGTGTCTTTAACGATCACATGCGCAAAAATGACAAAATTAAAAAAACAGAGTATTGTCCCTGCTAAACTGAAGAGTGTAGGTTTCAGCTGGAGAGTTCCCGATGAAGACATTTTTTTTTCAGTTAAAAAATTTGAGGTACACAGTCTACAAAATGAAACAAAAGTTGAAAATATGATGCTCGTCTTGGCGTATACTCAAAAATGTACTTATTTGGGACTGCTTAGACATGAAATGATGTCACAAGACACATGCGACCAGTAACGGCTTTTATAGAATGAGTTGCCCCTCAATCATACACCTTTGACACATAGTCCCACAATGCCCTAATGTTCTAAAGCATAATAAAAAATATCTTAAAATCCACTATAAAAGAAATAACATAACTAATAATTTTAACCATAAAATTTTATATGAAAAAAGCCCACAGATATTAAAGTTTATACATTCATTACAAATGACAGGAACTATATTTGTAGACAATCGATTACGAGCGACCAAACAGGTCATTTTTGAAAATCAGATCATTTCGTCTTTTTCTATTTAGTTCTTTGAGTCTCTTTTTTGCTTTTTTTCCACTTTATTATTCATGACATGAAAGTTTTAACCTTAACTTCATGTTCTAAAACATATACGTGTGCATTGTGCTTCAATGAAAAAATATGGGGTAAACGTCAATGAGACAGCCACCTAGTGACAGAAATAACCAAAAGACATGTGCTCGGTTTGACGGTAAACCAGATATATGCGAGATTCCCTCACGTTATAAAGGAAGAAAGATCATTCACAATTTGTCTTACATTTGTTTTTCTCTCTTTTAATTAAAATAAAAAAAAAAACTTTCGAATGTTGAGTTCATAAGATAAAAATATTCCCTGTAGAACCTCCCCCCCCCCCCCTTTCTTTTCTTGGTGCTCTCCAATTTCAACCCCCAAATAAGGCTTTCCAATCTAATTAAAATTAAAATCTTGCTTTCTAACCAATCTATTCATGTACCGGACCGGGAACTTTCTTTATTTAATAAGAAAATCTACAGTGCCGTTATATAAATGCATGTTGTCTGCTTGGAGTCCCCGTCCGAAAAGAAAGAAATAGCCTAACTCCAAGATACTACATTCCTGCATCACGTGATTTTTGCCACGTGGAGCTTACATTAGAATGAATACCGAATATGGAGAGCGAAACTACAGTTCAAAACATAAAGTCCGAAGGCACATAGAAGAAAAAGAAGGATTTTTTTTTGCAAAGGGTGCCGGGGTAATCTTCTCTGTGTTCATAATATACACGAAATATTTGCCACTGCCCCTTGTCTGTTCTATAAATTGTAATCCTGAGTTTTCTATCTGTTACATGCCAAGAAATCCTCGCTAAAAATTCCGTTGGACCTCCTACGGCACCTATTAGTAGTTAAAGATTTGATTTCATTCAACAAATTAATTTATGACCTGCAAGTACGTGTCGCTTAGAACACGGCCATATACCAAATGGTCAATATTAATCATCCATGTAATTTGCTCTATGGGATGTTTGCAAAATTTCAACGGAGGCAATTTCTTGGCATGACGAGACAGCATCTCAGCGATAAAAGAATATGTTTGAAAGAACTATGCACTTGGCTACCTTTTTTTCTTCAATTCGTTTTTAAAACGTCTTGGCTTCTTCAACTTGAATAATAGAAAATAAAACTATATATCAAACGAAAACTGGATAAAGTGAGAAACAAGTTTCTTTCATTAGTGAAAATTACTGCTTCATTGCTTATCTCAGAGTTCGACCCCTACACGTGGTAGCTTGGTTCGACTCCAATCTTAATTGACTAGGATTGACAGTTTCCTTGCCGAAGGTCAGTGGTTCTCTCCGGGCGTCCCAGCTTTCTACACACAAAAAAAGCTGGTCACCATGAAATAGAAAATAATGATAAAAGTGGCGTTAAAGACCAACAATGAATACATCAATCATTGTATATCTTAGACGTTTCAAACACATCTCGTAGTTTTTTTAAACACGAATCTATTTTTTTTAAATTGAATTTGACAATAGCAATTTTCCCGGATCGTATAATGGTGAATCCGGATAACACTGTAATATGTGCCGTTGGACATGAAAAAGCTTGACCTCTAATAATTTTGAATAACTAGGAGAATAGATGAATTTTAAAGCAGAACTATTTTAATTATTTGTCAGCTATTTTAGGGGAAAGCAATAAGTATTGAGCAGATATTTAAGATTGCCGAGGATAAGGCAACATTATAGGGACCTGTCTTTAAAGGTTGGTGTGTCCATCATATTACATATGTGGCAACCTTTTGTTTAAGGCTTAAAACAATTTAAACTTTTCAAAGTTATTCAAGTTCCATTACTAACTTAATGTCGACACCTTATACCGGGTAATGTAGAATATCTATTTTAAACAGAAAAGGGTAATTTCTATGTCAAAAGATTGCAAAATTTCTGAGAATGAATAGAACAGTCCCTATTCGAATGCAGCATTTGCTAACTTAGTAGACATGTCTTTGACAAGCAATACTTTGAACCACTGACAGTGTCTTTAACGATCACATGCGCAAAAATGACAAAATTAAAAAAACAGAGTATTGTCCCTGCTAAACTGAAGAGTGTAGGTTTCAGCTGGAGAGTTCCCGATGAAGACATTTTTTTTTCAGTTAAAAAATTTGAGGTACACAGTCTACAAAATGAAACAAAAGTTGAAAATATGATGCTCGTCTTGGCGTATACTCAAAAATGTACTTATTTGGGACTGCTTAGACATGAAATGATGTCACAAGACACATGCGACCAGTAACGGCTTTTATAGAATGAGTTGCCCCTCAATCATACACCTTTGACACATAGTCCCACAATGCCCTAATGTTCTAAAGCATAATAAAAAATATCTTAAAATCCACTATAAAAGAAATAACATAACTAATAATTTTAACCATAAAATTTTATATGAAAAAAGCCCACAGATATTAAAGTTTATACATTCATTACAAATGACAGGAACTATATTTGTAGACAATCGATTACGAGCGACCAAACAGGTCATTTT